ACCACCACTACCACCACTACCACTGAAGTTCGAATATACACTTCTATTGGATTTCCTGCTGAAGGTTCCAGGGAGGCTTGTAGAGCTTCATTGCAGCTGCAGACAACCAAGGCAGCAGTTACATGAGGATCGCAACCCTTGATGATAAAGCTCAAAATGCCTTGACCCTTCCCTACGTTTTGGCGTCACAACACGTCGGGTCCAGCGACAGCTTCATATTTCAGAGACTTCAGAGATGTCAGAACTCAAAAGCCAAGGGTATTTGTGTCACAGCACGTTTTTGCCCCCGACACACTTTGGAGATGTTGGAGCTCAAATCCACAACTTTTGTGATGCGAAACGCCTCCCACACAAAACACAAACCAATTCCAACAATCTGGCCGCTTGCTTTCAAAACTGGTAAGCACGTGGCAAGGGCACGACAAATTGCCGCCCGTGAAGATGAAGTCCAATCTCGCGACCTTTCTTGGTGGCATATGTCGTAGGCATTCAACATCATCGCAAGTATCACACAGCAACACCGCAACCCAAGCAAAACTCTTTGCAACACACTTTCGGCAAATGCGCAATTCAGTTTGTCGTTCCTATCCCAGCAGGGCATACAACATAGCATGCTTGGGGGAAGTGGGGAATGGCCGAAAACATGTAATCCTCGCAGCCAGACATGTTGACATTGACCATCCCACATTCCCAAGGTGAAGGGCACGTGAAGTTCTGATCGAAAGTACATGAAAGTATTTCGGGTCTGGCGCCAAGTGCCGGCCTGGCCGCTGCCCCCCTGCCATGTGAAAGCCAGCTCACCCCAGCCCTGCTGATGCTACTGATCGGGAGAAGTGTATGAAAAATGACGTTCTTGCTACCTGGGATGGTTTTTGGGATTGGGAAGGTCTGTTATCTGTAGCATAATTGAAAATGACACAAAATGGGGTCCAATGTGCTGATGATGCTCCTCCACGATGGCGCACGTGCGCGCCTCGTACACGAGCACCATCCGCACATTTGGGACCCCATTTTGGCTTGGTTGAGACCCTGCAGGCGGGGTCAAAAACCCAAGAAGAATCATCATAAACGGCTTTGAACATGGTTCTCTGCGCATGCTGACCACACTTTGGCCCACATGTACTTCTTTAGAGTCTGGAAGCAACATTGTAAACATACTTGATAGGCCAAGGTGGCGCAAAACCGTAGCATAGGACCCACACAAGTGCTGGAAATATCCGAAAATATGCAAAATGCACAGTTTCAAGAGCCTGGTCAGGGTAATGCACGCAGAGCCTTTCGCACACCTGACATGGAGTGCGGGTGCTGCCAACCCTGGAACTTGCAGCCACAAGCACTGCCCATAGCAGATAGTTTGAGCGTGTTCTTTGTTTTTTTGCGCATTTTACGGGTCCAGCAGCTTTTGAAGAGCCAGCATCATGAGGATCATGGGGTCGTTTGGGCCCCAATTTCCTTCTTGATACACACATACGAGGTTCCAACACCCCTCCAAACCCTAAGTATGTTGAGGTCTCCAAAAGTCAGAATCGAAGGCCCAATTATGCTGATGATGCTGGCCCGAAACAAATTGCCCCCAACCCTCCATAGTGTTGGGGGAAGCCTCAAGAACGCATGGAAAATCATCTTACTATACCTTAATTTTTGACACCACGAAAACAGGCCTTCAAGGCTTTCAAGGCGGTGGGGGGTCGGCGGCAGGGGCATCACCCATGTAAGCCTAGCTCAGCTGGGTGTGCATCTGGACTGGACTGGACCATACCGTAGAGACACAGGGTAAGCAGCAAGCTTGCAGATCATGTGCTTGGCTCACAGGCGCCCGCTCTGCTGAGAGATCCACAAGCTATATTCTTGCATCACCAACGCGCAAAAGTCAAAACAAAACAACTTGGCACAGCGACATGCTCCATAGTCGCTCTTGGCTTGTTTATAGTGCAGACCTTGCAAATCGTAAACCAATCCTGTCCAAGATGCACGGCAACAAGCCGTCCCACTTGGCTCTGCCTTGAGGTGTCAGGTTCCTTCGCCCGGCCTGGCATGTATGGTCCAATTCTCAATGGCTCGTGAAATCTTGTCAACGCGAAAATCGTAAATTTCGGTCGCAGGCCCAGGCGGTCCAGGCTACAATGCATACAACGCCTACCCTCCAGGCAGATGTGTTAGTAAGCATGATTGCAGGTATTGCAACGTGCTTTGCCAGCAATGTGCACGGGCTCGGCAGGTCCTGGTGGTCAAGTACCCATGGGCAGCAAGCTCAGCTTGGCACATACCAAATGAATCATTCGTTCAATCGCTCAGCAGCTATCAGAACGCGTGTCAAGGAAGGAAACCGCGAGCACGGCGCAGTGTCTGTTGTTGAGCGCATCATCTGCGCCGACTGCAAATATTTGCTTGTAATTTCGTGACAAGGCAGTGTCCAAAGGATGCGCTGAGCGTGTAGGCCCTTTCACTCATGTTCAGGGGCTGCGAATTTAGCGAATGCTTGTGACGAACATCCTAAGTTTCTATGCAGCAAGAATTGACGCACTGCAGCCTGATTGATTTCCAACATGCTTTCAAGCAGACATGCGGAGAACGAAAGTCTTGCAGGCAGAAAACATGCAGAGCAACAGGAGCCTGCATTCAAAGCAATGGTCTGTGTGTGTGGTTGGTAGGTACATTGCAAGCTTGATTGCAGCCTGCATGGTATGCTGGATCTTATGCCAAAAGCTTACCAATGTGACTCTGTGAGGAGCATGCTAGATTGGGTCCCTACAGAGGTCCTGCATTCCAGCCTCAACTTCCAAGCGTATGAGAATAGTAGGGAGACATTCGCTCACACAGTGCCTCGGGCTTTGGATTGGACAAAATCTTCATGTAATTTTTCTGTGTAGAACGCAGGTTGAGCCTTGCTTTAGCATATTTGCATAAGCCATCATGGGGAAAAGGAAGGAACGCTCGCTGCTGTACGGCTGCTATTTGCTGCAATCGGCTCGCAACCAGCGGAGGACACCAGAATGCCGCAGAAATGGCATAAGCTTTCAAATGCTGAGAATGTGAGGACCTACATTGGTTTCACCATGGATCCCAAAAGACGGCTCCGTCAGCACAATGGTGAAATCAAAGGTGGAGCGTGCAAGTCCATCTCTGAGTAAGCTCTTTTGAAGTTGCATGCGTTCCCGGATCAGTACTGCTCTAGTAAGGACGCATAAGTGGAAACCATGGAGGATGGTTCTTTGCGTGACCTGGGTCTGGGCTCACCTCTGGTGAGCTTCACCAGGTATTTCATGCTGGGAGACTGTCGTCAGGTATGGGGCTTCCCCGGCAAAGTCTTAGCCCTCCAGTTTGAGTACGCCTGGTGTGGTGCTCAAATGAATTGACACGTGAGAGGCTAGGCCAAATCTTGCCATCGTCCAGGCAGCATCCATCGCTTTCTCGACACGTTAGAGGAAAGGTAGCTCACTTGGGGTTGCAAACTCAGTTCGGAAATGCCAGAGCAAGCTTCACCTGTCCAATCTTTGGCAGTGATATCAAAGGAGCATCGTTGCCCTCGGGAAGGTGGATGGGGACCCTTTGACAACCTTATGAAAAAATGGTGTGAGCGTGCGTGGCAACAAGGGGATGACAAGGGGCACGGTCTCACAAGAAGCGGTGAACGGACACGCCCGGAAAGCCGTCCCAGCTCAGAGGTCGCAACACGGCAAGGCTTGACGTCTGTGAAGTGCATGGCCATCCTGGCATGTGAATGGTTGGGGCGCGTGGACTGAATGCCTACCCCATTGCGCCTTCAGTGGGGATGTGCGTGCGTGTGGAGTATCACAAAAAGCGTCTGTTGAAGCTCTGACTACAAGGCTGCATGGAGCACCGTAGCCAGAAGCAATGTGTGATTGCAGCATGTCTGGAGTGTTCACCCTCAGGTTTTGCAAGCTTGCAGGGCATGGAAAGCAGTGTCCTGTGCCAGGGTCCCCGGTGTTCTGTGATTCTTCGAAAATGCAAGACAATGCAATGGCGTGAGGCTAGGCGTTGACAAGAACGTCCGGGTGCTACTGGAGATGTTGCAAGCACTTCCATACTGCAGGCAGCTGAGCGATTCTTCTAGAAGTCCGTGCAATTTGCAGGAGCCTGCATGTGTTAAAGCGGCATGCCCAGGTCGAATGCCTTTGCGAGTACACTTTCTCGATGAAGGCTTTGGAGCCTCGAGCAAACGTATAGAAGTCGTAGTTCCTGGCCGCTGCAGGCTCTTGGGCAGTTTCGCAGAAGATGTTTGGCAGCAACCTGCCGAACCATCTGACCTTGACCCATGGCAGCTTCGACGAGCTACAGCATCTGTGCAAGCAGAGGATGACTCTGGCCAGCTTCTCAGGGTTCCATCCGTCATGAGCCATTGAGCATGGCTAGCATATGAAGAAGGGCGCTGAGCCTGAGCCAGCTGAGCCAGGTCATGCCACCGATGGAATCGTCCGAGTGTGGAAGATGCTCGGGACAGCTGAGACCAGGCGACAGGATTGTGCAGTGCCCCCACTGCCAAGCTCTGCTGCACCTCCCTTGTGCTGCCATCCTCTTCACCGGCACATCGAGAAAGCCCTTTGACTTGAAATGGACTTGCTGCTTGTACATATTGTCTTCCAGTTCTCAGTCCTATCCCGCCTTCTGCACGTCAGGCTAATGCCCGACGAGCCAGCCTTCTGTTTGCGGTGCTCCACTAGTATGGACTGGTTAGTGCTGCTTCGCAACCAGCGACTGGTGCGCTCTCCCGCAGAAGAGGATGAGTGCAAAGTGCAGGCCATCAGCTCCGGAAACTATTGCATCTTGTCCTGTAGCTGCACCACAGCGTGAATAGCCAGGGTGAAGCTGAGAACGCGGACTCACATGAGGAACTGTCGGAGGCCGCCTTGTTTAAACCAAGTTCGCCGTTTGATTGATGCGGAAGTCTGCTTGACTTCAATCTGCTTACTGAGGCATATTTGCTTTCTCAAGGAGATTCGGACTTACAACTCTCGCAGGATAGCCTGAGTCAGGCTTGCATTGCAAGTCAAGATCTCTCCCTGCCATCTCGCAGCCCTCTTCCTTCTCCGGGCTACCCCGACAGTGCGGAAGTGGCACCCGAGCTTGAGAACGAGATTGCAGCGGCTGAAGAAGCTCCCAAAGTCTGCTTGCCAAAGAGTCGTAAGAAGCCTGGCAGCCTTGAGCGGTGTGCCAAGAGCTGCCACAATGCATGTCGAGTTCTTTCAAGGGTGCAAAGGAACGCAAAGGCCGCCAAGCCATTGCCAGCATTGCCACCGGACAAGGAGCAAAACACAGCAAGCACAGCCGCAAGCACAGCCGCAAGCACAGGCAGCCTCAGGGAGCGATTGGCACAACGCACAGGGAGGTCCGCCTACTGCATTTGAAGCCCCGTGCGACCTATCAAACTTTGCAATTTTGGCATGCAGTCCAACGCCACGTCTCGGTTTCTGCAACATGGCAATGGCGTCCGCAAAGCCGCAATTCGAAATTAGTTCTGCACAGATGTTCGTCACTGTACAGCTTTTTGGAACATCTTGCAAGATTGGAATTCATAATGGCGGCGCGCTGTCACACAAAGTGGGATGCCACAATTTTGTTCATGTACTTCCTTGCCTAGTGGATTGGTGCAGTTGGTACCAGCAGGTAGGAAAGGCACCGCGGTGTGGCCCAAGCATATTACAAAGCCGGGTTGACATCATGGCAAATGGATGCAGTGGGATGGGAGTGTCCATTTGGCCGGCGCACATTTCCTGTGCAATTCCATGATGAAGCATGCTTTGCAGAGCCATACCTCGGAGACCTCGTGGGGGTGGCGTTCTCAGCACAGCATGGTCCTGCATTCCTGTAATTTTCTGACAACATGAGCTGCTGGGGGCTGATAGAGCTGAGGTGCTGGGCTCCGTGTGCGGAATTGCGCGGCGCTATGCCAGGAGCTCTTGGCCTTGGCCGCGCAGGGATCCGTCGTTCTGGCAGAGCGCCGCCTGCACCGCTACGCTCCATCAGCCCTGCTGAGCCCCTCCGAAGGCCAAGACATCAGGCGAATGTTCATTACTTAAACCTGACAGCGTGCGAGGCGCCATGTTCGCGGCGGCTGCGCTGCCGGTGCAATTCCGCGGCCCGGCGTTCCGCAGCTTGCTGCTGGCAGCCATCAATGCAGATGACGTGGACAGAACCTCACGGCGACTCAGATCTAGTGTGCAGTTTGAGGCTGTGACGACCTTGTCAGCTTGGAAGAGATAAGGTTTGCTGCAGGATTTTCGAAGCTGCTGCCGGACGGTTCTAGCGCTATGACCCTCCAGGAAGAGCGAGGCAGGTTTGCTTCACGTAGCAGCTACATGCAGCACCATGGCAAGCACCATGGCAAGCATTCTAATACGACACCGAGCTTCCCTCATGTTGCAGACTCCAAGCTCGAGAGTCCGCCTTCTGGCGCTGAAGTCTTGGGGCGCTTGCTGAACCACGACGTGGCGAGACTGACCCGGTGTCTTGGAGAGTGAGCGGGCTGTCTTGAGTCAAAAGCTCCTTAGAGTTGAGGTGGGCCACTGCTTTGGATGGTACTGATCCACTCGCAGAAGCGCTGCGGCATCGAGTTGCCCTGCATGCTGCTAAGAGTGTCCGCGAAGTGGAGAGGCCGAAGTAGATTTTCCGCATTCTCCGCATTCTGTTCACCTGGTCACTTGCCATGCCTGTGCGAACTGTGCGAATTCGTGAGGGCTTGGACACGATCTTTGTCTGCGCAGCTTGCATCGTACGACGCCGCAGCGGTGGCGCGGCGAGCGCTCCAACGTCTGGCCGAAGGGCCGGAGCCGCTCCGGGCCGAGCTCTGGCTCTTGCGCCTCGGCAAGCTCGGCATCGTTGGAGACCAGGAGCTGGAGACGGGTCTGCTGGCATCCTGACAGAAATCAAAAACAATCCTGTCGCATAAGTTTTTTCAGAAAATTGCTTGAGTGAGGCCGCTGCACGGCAAGGCCGTCCGCGTGCCAGTTTGCGCATTCTGCGCCGGCTTGTCGGCCCTTTGCGGCTCTGGCTGCGTGCTCCCCAGGCCCATTTCTGCGGAGGTTGCTCTCCCCATAATTGCCATAGCCCTTCCTGTTCTGGAAACTCCTGGCGCAGGCGCAGAATGCCGAAGGACTGGAGCGGATCAACCTGGTACTGCTTGCCTGCGAGCGCGCCCTCTGGACCAAGATTAATTGTAAGCGTCGAAAATCAAGAAAGACGCAAGGGGGAAGGCTTGGGGGGCTGGCCAGGGGGTGTGCAGGAGGGGAGTCCTGGTCAGCTTGTTCCCAGATGCGTTGGCCAGAGGCCGAGGCGAATTAGCTTGAATTTCCAACCCTGAAACAGCATTGCTTTTAATCCGAGGGCGGTGAGAGCCATCTAGCTGGCCAGTGGCTTCGCCGCCTCCAAGCAGCTGGCCACGTGCTAAACGCGCGCAACTTCTCGCCGCTCACCGAGATCTGACAGAATAGATTGCACCTGCTTTCACAGCAAAACGCACATGCTGGAGGCAACTGCTCAAGGCTTTTGCCAAGAAAGGCTTGGCAAGGCTCAGAGTTGAGAAGAAGTTCCCCAAAGTCATGCTCTAGCGACGTCAAGTGCAGTCGCTTGGAATGCAGGGATGCTGAGCAATGTTTTGCAGAAATGGTCCGCTGTCGCTTGGAAGCGACTGCACACGAGCGTCTCAGATGCATGTAGCCATGACTTCAGAGTGAAATTTGACGATTGACTTCTAGTTCGACATCTTCTTGATTTCACAGATTAGTACACGACCGGACAACAAAGGCTACGACGCCACAACGTGTGTCAAAAGGCGGTGGTAAACCACCTGAATTGCAACCACCGTAACTGCGGAGGTATACCATCCTGGTCCGAGCTGCGGGAAAACTTGGCGATTCTCAGCGTGCGCTGTCATGGCTAGCGCGCATGCAATTTGTCGCCAAGCCGAAGAAGTCACAAGTTCCAAGCTTTTGGGTTTCAGCCTGCGGCGTGTGGGATTCGTTGATACAGCTCTGCCATGGGCTCCCTACAGGCTCGAAGGCCTTGCGTCTGGTCAAGCTGCGAGGGCAGCATTGGTTATGAATCACGTCGTTGGTATCAGGGATCAGAAGGTTAGATGTACGACGAACACCCTCGATGTAAGCTGAGCTCTTGCTGCGGATGAGTATGAATATCAGCCCAATGTTCATTTGCGTGTCAAGAAATTGATGCTGCTCGCTAGAATGCCAACATCCTCAAGTGATGCAGGCTCGCCTGTTCAGCCGTTGGTTTGCTAGGTCGCCTGCTGAAAAAAAAAGGAATAACGCACGACGCGGCATGTACTTGCAATCACAGTGGCAAGAATCGCCTCAGTCTACGCCCGGTACACAAAGGGCAGTCGAAGCTGCATGCTTCTGGTTACGCCTCTGCATTCACTGCTGACCGAGCGCCTTCGCCTCAGCTATATTGCCACCACAGCCAATACAAACCACCAGCATGAAGACTTCGACTCTCTTGCTGAAGACCCAAAATCGTTTCGGAAAGCCTAGATTGCCAGTGTGGGACGCATTGGGATGCTCTTGGAGCAAGGCAACGCATCGCAAGGAGGCCTAAGAAACGAATGCCGTTTTGGCGTTTTTTGGCGCAACGAATGTCATGAGAGCGCTTCTTACCATGCGAATGGTTGGACATGTTTCCAAGGTTCAAGTGACGGCGGACGTGCTTGCCTACAATGCCTTGCTCGGCGCGTTTGCTTCTGAGGCGGACTTCGAATCAGCCTTCAAACTCATCAAGGAATCAACTGACAAGCCAGCATAAGCCAGCATGGGCCAGCATTAGCCGAGTGATGCTCCGCTAGTTTTTTGACAAGGACATGGAATCGGGAACCTTGTGGCTCGGCTTTGTTGCAACTTTCTAGATAGCTGTCGAGGATTCAGTGTGGTAACTGAACCTTGGAACGCCTATAAACGCTTCAAGGCGCGTAAGAGGAGCCAAGGCGTGATGTAGCACCGGACGCTTCGAGCTATGCTGCAGTGGCCAATGCCGCTTGCGCGTGTTCATCCTCAAGACGGCAAAGGCAACCCTCCGGTTACCATGAACTTGGTCATGTTGTTAGTCTCTTTCGCGATGCCTTGCCAGGCATTACTTTATGGGCGTTGCTGACTCTTGGTCAAGGGTTCGGGATTTGGGTCCACGGAAGATTCGGCTTTGACCCACTTTACTCAGCCTACGTCGACATGCAAAGATGGTTGGCCTCAGGAAGAATTGGTTGATCAAAGCCGAGAAGCTATGGTTGAGGCGCACACCGCTTCAATATTGAGGATGTGCTGAAGAACTTGCGATCCTCCTCCTTCATATTTAGTGCTTTGAGACATCTGTTGTCCAAAGTCTAAAGTCTAAAGCTGCTGGGATGAGTTGGGTTCGGCGCGGACGAGGGTCCTTGTGTGCCGCTTCTTTTCAAGCATCTTGACTTGAAGGACTCACCGTTACTGATGCTACTTTGCTTGTCCCAGCTGCGCCTGTCCCAACTGCGCTTGTGCACCATGAGCATCGTGTTGCCACGCTATTCAGTTCCAGCTTTTTTAGACAAACCATCCGCAAGACAGGTGGTTCCATCCAATAATGAAGTCAATGCAACAAATGTAGCTACTCCAGTGAACCCAGAAGATCTTTATAGAAGAGTTGGCCTTTGTTTTTAGATATTAATGGGTACAATCTCAAAAGCCAAAGATCAATCCTAACTATTTTACATCAATTAACACGCAGCCTTGAAGGAAACTCTTGGCTCGAGTCGTAATTTCTTAATCCAAACAGTGAAGTTAGCCCTTAGTTCTATTAAGTTTATAAATATTTGAGCTAGGCCAATGCAATTAATTTTTTTGGCCTCCCTCAAGCAGCTACATGTCCTCAGAACTCAGGGCCAGCTGTATCGTTTACATGGTTTCGGAAGATCAAGATAAAACAACTTGCCCATATTAAAAGGGAGAATCCTGGATTGTAGTGTGTCATTCTCAGATCAACTACCTTAACAAACTTCAACCATTGAAATGCTTTAAATCATAGATTTGAGGCTGCAAGGTTGTTCAGTACTGTTATTGATACAGTCGACGGCTACTCTCATTATTTTCAACGCCTGCAAACACCTGAAGACATCACCTCCCTCAGGTCAGCTGGATTCCTTTTGTTTATTGCACAGCCCTGCCTATTTCAAACAGTTAAGTCATAATCAATTAACCTACAAGGTTATTATTCAGACGACGACATTATCCTTCAATCCAAGGGTTCCCCGCTTAAAAGAAGTAATGATTTCAATGAGCTTCAAGATTCAGAGGGCAGAACGGGCTCTTGTTTCCATTTTTGTTACTTGAGTCCACTGGACTGTTTCAACCTGGTATAACTTAGTATGAATGAGTGCCAGCTTGATTTTTTGGATTGTTTTGAGGTATCGAGATGCGCACTTTACTCAGTTGATTCATATTAAATAGGGGAGAATCCAGCAAGGAAGGGTCACGTTCTTTTCTTCAGATTTCAACAAATTAATTTGACCGGCTTTAAGCCGTAACAGTACTGCAAAAATGATATTCTTCCACGAAGTGATCAAGGTCTTTGAAATCTGAGCTGGCGGTAGGAGAACAATGAAATGTCTTGTGTTTCCGTTCTAGACTTTCTTTACTGTCTCAGGATCCGCGCGAGCAGATGCAAATCTGTTTTCTGCAGGTTGAAGGTAACAATTCCGTCCAGAACACATGGAGGGCCTCCATAGACAGAGTCTCACATCCTGAGGTACGTGCAGCAATGTCTTCGTAGTTGCTTTTCTTGTTGTCAAGCTCATAACGGTCTGTGACAAGAGCTGGGACTTGGGATATGCTCGCACTGGCTTTGTGAGGTGGATGCTGCTGCTTACCAAAGGCTCCTGAGGCACAGTGCAAGACAAGGAGATGCAGAGCGCGTCGGTCGTTTGCTCCGCCGCTCTGACGTACTTAGCTCAATAATTGCTGCCGCTGCTGCCGCTGCTTCGAAAATAAAGAAGATTTTGACTTCAGGAGGACAAGTTGAACATGTTTTGCAGCTGCCACATCTCCCATGAAGCAAGCGCCATGCGGATGGGAGAAAGCACCTTGGTGCCCGGTTCCCTTCTTGCATGGACAGTCCGTTCCGAAGTGTAAACTGTGACCCCTTGTTAGAAGGAGAGAAGCTTGTGAAAGGAATAAATGCGTAACTCACAAAATCTTGGTTGCCCCTTTGGTGTCGGCTTTTTGTAGGCTTCATGTAAAATCTTCCCCCTGCTGCAGATCCAGGCAGGCTTGCAATATCCAATGTTATCAGGGAGTCTCTGATTTTTTGAAGTGTTATTTTGTTTGTGGCTGCTGCAAACTGAACTAGTTTTGGACTTGTGAGAAATGTGACGCGTGCGGTGCACATGTAACCTGCGCGCCCTTGACAAGCACGAGGCACATAATGTGACTTGCTTTTGTCACTTGCCCGCGTCCTGTGTCTCCTTTTAGATAGACCTCCTTCATGTGGTGATGGGGCCGGGCCCATTGTAAGTCTTGTGTCAAAAAGGACACCTGCGGTACCTTGAAACAATCAGATTATCTGAGACGGGGCTTGGGACGCCAATCTCTCCTTCTGACTTGACCATGCAGCTATCGACTTATCACCGTGCAATGCCAGTACAGTACTTGGCAGAAGCATTGGTTTGGGGTGTGTCTTGTGGCTTTGGTCTCAGACGATCACACCTTGGCCTCAAGACAGACCACAAAAAGGTGTGTGCATCCTATGCCATGCTTGCAGAGCCTTTTGAGATGCTTGAAGGCAACCGAATTTGCACACCAGGCTCATTCTAAAACGCAGACCAAGGACGCATGTCTTGCTTGGAAGCATCTCCCCGTCCTTCCGCACTTCTGGAGGCATGGGCTTTGCAAAGATTGCCTTCCGCTGTCCGGTCTGAGCCACCGCGCGGTTGAGGCTTTGCAGGCTTGCAGCACGGCACCCTTCGTCGGCTTCGCGCACAACCTTGCGACTTCAAAAGGCTCGGGAGACGAAGAATCGGTCAAAGCACTCTTGGATGGTCTTGGTCTTGGGTCTCTTGGCATCTTGGTAGTCAGTTAGGAGCCTGTGCTGAGCGCACAGCGTTCCTGCTGGCGCGGCCTTTGGCTGAGCTTGGCGATTGGCGAGGAGTGCAGAGGCTGCTTGGAAGGCAAGGCACACAAAAACAGAAGGAGATGAAATGTGTCCTCAGCTACAGATGCTGCAGCTTTATCGTCAGGTCTCAGGATTCAGCGACCGCCGCGGGTGCCATCTTGCAGCTCATGGCCCTGGCCGAAGCAGTTCCAAGGATCCGTTTGCGGCTAAATTGTGTTCTTTTCTGCAGCCCCCTATGCTCATTGTTCTTATACGTTTTATTCACCAAAGAAACATGGATAATAAGTTATACCCGTATGTGCATGGTAGGACACAGTAACCTTCCCCTCCAAACAAATTAGAGCTTCAATGAAAATACCGATGCTTGCCCTTTGCAATTTATTTCCCCCGCGCTTAAAAAAGCAGGCATATGTGATCGATGCTTCTCGTTTCTCTAGTAATCCTCACGAAGCACCTAACCGCATAGTGATGATTCCGATTTTTGCTCTGGTTCACAACATGCTTGTTGTATCGTTTTCCGGCTGCCGCTACTACTACTGCAACCACTACCACCGCCACCAATACTGCTGCTACTGCTAGTAGGAGCCGATGCGAAAACATTCGATGCAATGCCATGCCCTCCAGATTGGAGACCCATTACTCTCTCCCCGCACAGCCCCACCTCCCGCGACCACCCCCGACCACCACGGCACCCTCAAAAAACATTAACTCATCCTCCCCACCTCGACCCCTTGGCCGGGCCCCGGCACGAGGCATCTATCCCCGGCAGCTATCCCTCCACGCCATCCAGCGTCCCGTTACTAAAGTCTTTACCTGGCTTTTCTTAGTATTTAATGTCAAGAATGTACTAGTGTAACACATTGCTACCATTCTTCTTATGATAATTGGTCTTGTTAGTACGTTCAATTTTCTTGTGCCGTTCTTGTATTCCTCTGTTGTTATTATGTGGATTGTTAAGAAGTTCGTAGTGTGTAGCGTATGCTATTAACTGACAAGCAAAAAGTTGATGATGATGATGATGATGATGGTGATGATGCCCCCCCGCTCTCTTCAAACAAACAAAGTCACAACAGCTCCATTTCCCACAATACTAATATTAAAAACATTTGCCACGATTACCAGTTTATCATGGCTATGCTTATTTGCCAAGCAAAGAAGCTGCGAATAGCTTGTATTCAAGCAATGTAGATTTAGTCCTCTCTCCTCTCTCTATAAGGTACTGAGGCATACAAGAATGCACGCTAACATGATAACAGTCTTATGGCTTTTGAAGTCATTTCACGGGTAGATTCCGCTCAACATGTTCTAGTCTCCTGCCCCCCAAGCAAAAAAGTCCCTTAGCGCCTACGCCCTCCTTCTGCGTAATGTCTTTCAGTCTCTGCAGTCACATCCGCCATCGTCCACCTTTGCTACACGCCACAGCACAGGAAGCGGCGGCTGAGCATGGAAGCGGCAGCAGACTTCATGAGGGCAGGAGGGCGGCTGTCAGCTGAGTTCCTTGCCAAAAAGTTAGAGGTAAATTGCTTCAATGCCTGGCCTGCTGACCTGCTTAGGTACTCGGACTGCAGGGACGTCAGCTTAGGAAGCCTGTCAGCAGCCGCGGTGCTGCTCCGTCGCAGCCTTGGTGGCCGCACAGTTCCTGGGCGACGGCGTGGTGCGGCTGCGGACAGTCCACTTGCAGGATGCAGGCGAGATGCCCCGTTTCTCTGCAATTGGGACGTGTGGTACATAGGGAACTGCAGGCGCAGCCACTGGGGATGCATTAGCCGCGTGAGTGCCGCCCTGGATTCTGGAGACCCACTGCGTGCGGAGGCGTGGCTGAGCAGGCGAGCTGGTATTCACGCATGGCTTTCATTGCGTGCTCGAGTGCTGCCAAACAAGCTTCTCATTCTGTTTTCAAAGTTTAGGAATTTAGCCCCAGCAAGTGCAAATGAAGGCCCCATCAGCTTCAGCTTCACACTTTCATGCCAAAACTGCGGGATGAGTTCAGTGGGCTGGTGCCAGGTGGCCGCAGATCGGACCAGCGCCTAGGCAGAAGATGTGCAGCGCAAGGTCCACCAATTCAGCGTTTGTTGGATATTGTGTTGGGCCAGACCTCCTCACCTAAAACTCTAAAGATCTCAGAAGCACAGTGATGGTTCATGCAAAGCCAGCAAAACGATGCAATCCTGACAAACTGGCCTGCTACAGGCAGATGCTGCTGTTCCTCAGAAGCCTGCAAGACTCGGAAGGAGAGCTGCTGAGAGAACACAGCTGCTTGCATGGCGTCGCGACGCATGGATGGACACGCTGTGACATGCTTCTCATCACTTCTCGACTGTCCGATGATGTCGCGTTTTGGCTCAGCCCAGAAGTACTTGCCGTAGCACAAAGGATTGATGAAGGGACTAGAGGAGATCTCCGCCGGTTGTAATGCGGCGTCAGGAGGAGAAGCGGAGGTCTGAGGACAGAGGGAGGCCGAGTCCGCAGCAGAAGTATCGAGAATCTGCAGAAGAGCGAGGTCTCGCAGCAGCTGCTCGGCTTGCAGCTGCTGTGGCAGCCGCAACCAGCAACTGCCAGGGTCCCCAGGCCCCTCCAGGCCCTGGAGATCGTTTCCGGCTTAGGCGTCACAGCGCCATCGGATGCTGCAGGACTGCACCTGGACAGCCAACTCCCGCAGTGCGACAGGCCTGGAAGTCAGAAAAGGAGGAGAAGGAGCTGAAGGAGCTGGAGAAACGAGAGCGTGATCGAGCGCCAGCACGGGAGCGGTGTGAAGCTCGGCCACGTGTGGCGCCGGGCGAAGTCGCTCCGCGAGCCTTCGAGACTTCTCCGCGCCCTCGTCTCACACGCGCGCAGAGTGCGCGTCGCCCTACAAGGCCCTCAGCGCCCGAACGGGCAAGGAGTGCCGATCCACGCCGGCGTCAGGAGGGCGGCTTCGTTCCAGAGCGCCGGGAGGCTTGTGCTGTCGCATCTCAAACCTTTCCTCTGCCACTAGCATGCGCCTTGCGGCATGTCAGGAAGCCGACCCATCGCTGATGGAGGCGGAATGCACAGTGCTGACCAGCCATCGAAAGTGTAGAGTTATAATACTCAACTCACACGGAAGGTGGCAGAAAAGATGCCAGCGCCAGTCAATGCAGGTGAGCCTTCAAGTTTGAGTCTATTTTGCATGGCCATGTGCCTGATCAAAGTCTATGTTGCATCAGAGCGGTTCGCTGGGCTTGCTGACTTGACTCGAGGCCCGGGCATGCAAGGCCTTCCCAGCCCCAGGCACGTTCCCGGACACCAGCGATACAAGTGCATAGCTTAAAACTCCTGCTCTCCCAGGCTCCATGCGGCTGCACGGCGAAGCACGGGGCACATCCTCACAGCAGCAGCTGCTGCCGTGGCTGGACGTCGGGCAAGCACTGGTAGCATGTCGCAGGCTCAGAGTAAATCCACGAGGCCGTATCCACAGCAATCCTCAGGACGAGTTGCATAATTAAGGTCTATCATCGATCAGCAGCCCACGCCATTCAAGAGCTTGACAAGCAAAGTCTTTGCTGGCTCGTGACACCTCAGAGACAAGTTAGTCCATGCTGTGCAGATGGCTCATGTGGCAGCATGTGGCGCACTCTTCAGTGTAAACAACAGGCCCCCCTGCTCTCAACAATTGCAACTAGTTTCAGCCTCCACGGGTACTTCATGGGGAGCTCGGTCCCTATGATGAGGGGAGTAGGGAAGCCTTCCATTTAGTTGTAATGCGAGTTCATTCAAGGGCTCTTCACTAAAAAAGCAACATTAGCGGGTTTGCCGCTCACAGAGTTTGAGAGAAGGGCGGGGCACGCTGGCTTTTGCGTTCTTGCGCAGGTACTCTGTAGCTAAATTCCTCGGCCGCGGCGCCAGCGCAAGCGTTTGGGAGGACGTGGCTCTGTGTTGTGGTGGAAGGCTGGAGCAGGCACAGATTCTCGCAGGCCGTGAGAAGTGACAACGAGCAGCGAGTTGCTGTCAAGGCCTTTTGAATACAACATGTGATCCTCGTATTTGCAGCCGGGCAGGTCTTTGACCAAGGCCAGCGTGATAAGCGCCAGGCCCACCGAGAGGCTAGTTGCAGGATTTGCTTGCGTTTCGGACGGACAGGCACATGATTTCAAGCCCAGAAGCTATGAACAGTAGGCAAAACTGGTGCTGGGACAGTTTCTGCTCTGGCCGGTCCGTACCGACCCCTATTGCATCCATAGGCTTGTGAAACCAGTTTTGGTTGCTCACCGGTCTGCCACATTCAGATGGTCAGAATTCGGAAAGCTGAGATGCCTGAAAGTCCGAGTTGCTCGTGGGTCCAATGACACCCGAGTTAGAGGGTTGTGTTTGTTTTTGCCATGGATGACTTTACTACGGGAAGCACCATTTCGCGACAACACCACGTCTGAACCCGCCTGTCTTTCAAGAGCTTGTCAACTCTGCAGTCCGATCAGTCCGTTGTACTAGGTGCTGCCACGCCTGACCGGCCCGTGCCTCCTAAGTTGCTGGTCGTACACACTAACCCTCGTCCCCTTTGACGGCCTGGCCCTGTGCAGAGCGATGCGCAGGCAGCTCGCAGGAAGCGTGAAAGCATGAAGCACCGTGCTTGAATCAGGCCAAGTTTTGGGCGAGGTTAAGTGAACGAGGGCCTTGCGCCATGTTGAACCTTTGCTTAGAGCCAAGTCTTCCCGAAATGTTTGAATACACTGCGGCAACAAAGCATCATTGTCAAAAGTAGATAACTTAAAAAAAGCGGCCAACACAAATTTGCGGTTGATGGCGGAGTGAGTTGCATTCTTTCAATGAGGCACGGCTCGACACGTCTGGCAAAGGGGGGCTTCTCAGGGATTGGGTCGCGAAATGAGTGGAGTCCGGTTCACAAAAAGAATTCGCCGCATCGCCTTGGCCTTGGATGGGGCGTGCGGGACCAAGCGGCGTTGGATGGGTTGGCAGATGGCTGACCCTGGTCCATCTGTTCCAGATGCCTGTTGGCCGAAGGCCCAGCGAAATATGCATTCTTCAGACTCTAGCCTCTAGCTGATCTCGTGTGCAGATGAAAGTGCTTTCGAGAGTGCGCCACCCTCGAATCGTGGAGGCTTTCCATTAGTAGCTTCTTCAAAGCCTTGGTGTGCAAGCCGGAAGCAAGTGGAGATCTGAGGCCTTCGAAGTCATTGAGACACCCCGCTATGCACAACTGGTTTGCGAGGTCCTCGTTCCGAGCATCATGCGCCTGTTGAACTAGCACGCTTTTGTTCTAGTACGGTAGCGCTGTGGCTGTATGTATCCCTGCACTGAACTGCCTGGCCTGAACATGTGCACATACGACGCGAGGTCACCAAGAGTGTTCAAAAATCTCCTCAAAATACCTGTGCACCGTGTGCGTGACATTCGTTTAGAAATAGGAACCACCATTCAGCACCAAGTTCTACACCTAATACACTGTGTCTCGCAGCAATGTCATGGCTAAAGACCGCCGTGAGCAAAGTTGGGGAGAAGGCCGAGGCCCGGGCCGCTTGCGGTAAATCCGTTTTTTCATGCTCTTCAAGTGGGTCGCAGCTTGCAAGAGAGAGGCAATAAAGCACAGCGAAAGATTTCAAAGGCTCCAGGACTGACTCTCTGCGACAAGGTAACTTGCGTGTTCTTCCGCCATGCAAGGAGAGGACAAGTGTGGTCGTGGCGTCTGCGGCTGAAGGTGTTAAGCGAGCACGTGAGAAGATTGGCAACTTGGCCATCATTGTTACCAAGTCTGTTTCACGTGCAGCTGTTTGCGCTGAAGGGGTTTGCAGCCGAGTGTTTCAGCCTTACCGTAGGCCGGCCGGCCAATGCCATCGAGTTCGAGGCGCAGCTCGAAAGCCGGGCAAAGTCAACGCGTGCTCTCATGGAAGCCCTCTGCCTCTGCAGCAGTGTACGCATGAGAAGACTGAAGACCCGTTTAGGTACCTTAGCCGGCATTGCTGAGATGCACAAGGCTAAGATCCGAGTTGCATCTGCCTGCTCTCCAACCTGCTCACGACATGGATGCTGCACCACTTGCGCTGCAGTCGTGGGCGCAAAGCATAGCGGCAGCTGGAAACAAGGAAGGTCCACGCGTTCCCCTGCTCAGGAACCGTGCGCTTTTCGTTCTGGTTGTGAGGACCAATAAAATCTCATGCAGCTGAGGTAGTGTCTGGCGAGCATGAGTTGGGCTTTAAGGACAGAGCTGCGAGAACGATTTCAGGGTCATGAAGTTTGGGCGCGTCCAACTTCTTTTCATGGACTAAGCCCACGCGAGGAGATGTTCCTCCAGAGCCGTGCGCTGGAGAACTCGATAGAGGCTAATTGTTTGCAACATCCCTGATGGGCTGTCTCATGCTGGGCGAGCGCAGTTACGAAAGCTAGCCCCCGGTCTTGCTGAGCTTCTTGTCGTGCGATAGCTTGCAATGATAGGTGCGGGCGAGGGACCCCCGGCCGAGTGGTAATTTTGCTCGGGGGGTGTTTTCTCAGTGTTTATAAGCAGGCGATAGCAGGTGTTAAAAGCCTCAAAAGAACACGTAAGTGTGACCCAAAATGTCTTGCTTCTGATCATAAAAGTGGTGCAAAGTTGTGCTCGCACAGTGCCGTTCACGGCTGCAGAAATTGGAAATGTGGGATTTGGGAAGATAGGTGGAACAAAAGCTAGGTCAGAGTTCGCAGAGATGCGCACGTGTGCCCGAAGAAGCTCTGCCGGGTCTTTTGTTCACGATGGTGGGCTTGTCGCTCGTTCAGTCCATGCACTCGGCAGTCTCATCAGAGCGGGAGCTTGCCACGCTATCAAAACAGTGTCAAAACATCAAGAACATCAAGATCAATTTCGGTTTCCATAGACACGGGACTTGACAGCCTGGCAAGCTCCCGCTCTGATGAGACTGCCGAGTGCATGGACTGAACGAGCGACAAGCCTCCTTACCTGAAAAGCCACAAGTACGGACAGCTCGAGCCTCTAGCCACCATCGTGCACAAAAGACCCGGCAGAGCTTCTTCGTGAACACGTGCGCATCTTTGCGAACTCCCGGCTCGTACCTGACCTAGCCTTCCAGCCCCGAATTGCTGACGTACACCAAGCTGGATATGCGCTGACCAGGTTATTGTGTCCGAGCCAGGATTGCGAGAGGCGCAACAAGAAGCTGCCGGATGTGTTGTAACCTTTTGTCACGTGCATCTCATTGTAGCACTACGTGGACTCACCGGCCGCGGATGATAAAACCTCTCCCGTTGTCCACACCTTGGCCGATGCGCAGGGCAGCAAAGCACTTCTTGTGTGATTTCAAGAGGCATGTCTCTACGAGCTGCTCTCTAAAACCCTCGGGTCCTGCACTTGGAGACATGCCTAGAACATGCTGACGTCTGACACGATCGTATATCAGGTTTCCAGCTGCTCAGTGGCAAGGTCTGCTTCGTGCCAAAACCTCGGCCTTTGGGCATGTCATGGCTGTAATCGTTGCTGGGTGTGATGCTGAGGTGGCCATGAGCGGAGGGTTGCCAGGTAGACACATCTGTATAGAAAATGTTGGCCGGCTTCGCATCACTTTCAGGAGAAGAGCAGGCTGCGTGGATTACCATTGCCATCTCTGCCATGAAGACCGATTGGTCGAACTGGCCTGTTCTCAACTCATGTCTTGCTTATGAGCTCGTCCATGTCATTTGTGCTGAGTGCTGCTTATTTGCTGACATTTTGCACTTATGGGATGCTGCACAGAATATCAGAAAGTCCAAAACCAACCACGGTGCCTAAAAAGAGTATTCCCATACTGCAACTGTTAAGACTGCGCTTGGCCAGTTGAGTTGGCTGTCGAATACCGTCAGCTGGATAGATACTGTCTGTACAGCTGCCACGCATGGTGGTCCTGGCCCTGCGTTGAATTTTGGCGTACCAACCATCTATGTGCACGCGGCGGGCCCGACGGCGCTGGGCCTCGCTGTTTCCTGGTGTTGTATGCTTGCAGCTGCTTTTTGTTGAGGGAATACGCGACCGCAGCACTTTTCGCAACAAAGCTGCCTGATGTAAGCTGGCAGTTGTGTAAGGTGTCTTGTGGCGAGCACATCGCTAACAACAAGACAGGCGCCTGCCCAGTGTGTAATGCGTAAGGTGAGTGTTGACAAGTCGAGGCAAGTTCCTGGGCTGCTCCAGGCCGGCTGCAAGGCAGGAAAAGGAGGAAAGAGGGCTTCACCCGCGCGGTTTGTGAAGCCTCGGGGCCAGGATGCTCAGACATCTTGCTCCCGCTGCCCCGGCGATCCTTCCCAACACACGTCCGACAGGCAGAGCCAGGCTCGGGGAATTTGGAAATTCTTCTTTGCAGATGTTTCAACTGGCATTTGCTAGGCGAGTCCCCTCCAAGATTGGGAACTCAGGCTCAGGGCCTTTGCTTCGGAGGGCTTGTGAAGAAGGCTCAGCCTGGCTGTCGCTTTGTTTGGAGCCTCGTTTCTTTTTGGCTGTGAGGCAGCTTTATGCTGCATTTTTGTCATTATGAGCGCGTTGGGGCCAATTCTCTTGGATTGGGTCTCGACCTTAACAACCATGACACTTCAGAAGAGCCAGGGCTTGAAGAGGAAACGTGCCACATTCATGAGGTGAAGCGGGCTCATTCTGGTACCTTTCCCTTTTTCGTACCTGCATTGGTCTTCAATGCCTGGGCTATTGATGCCTTCGGCGGCCTGTGCTGGGCCGGGTTCCAGGGGCCCAAAATCCTGCGGCTCCTGCCGCCTGCATGCAGCGACGTGTGTTCTGATGACCGCTGCCTGTTTGTCCCCTTGTTCAGTCATGGACTGATAACTTAGGTGGCACCCAGATATGGTGTGGCGATTTTTTATCATTACGTCATTATTTGTCGGCGGCGACATGCTGCCTGCCTGCAAGATCCTCCAAGCTTTTCAGCCAATGCCATCCATCGATGGATGGGTCCAGGGCGTGCGCTCGCAGCAAACAACAACTCCTTTCATGGGCAAGGAACGATAGGACGCAGCAGTTGCGGATAGGTTTGGATCTAAGAGCTGTGGTGCTTGTGGTAGTAGAAGAGAATATTGGTGGTAGCAGCAGGTAGCAGCACTAACAGCGGCAGCAGTAATAGCAATTAATAGCAGAACCCGTAGCAGCAGCAGTAGCCGTAGTAGCGGCAGAAGGAGCAGCAGTAGCAGGAGGAGGAGCAATACCTATAGCACCCCGCAGCACTTGTACCGTGTGGACCTAGCAAAGCGTAGTAGCACGCAGTATCCTGGTAGCACTTCTTAGACATCGTGACGCGATAGTACGGAGCAGCGTGTTGCATTACGTATTAGTTCGTGTCGTTGTATCGCAGTACGTCGTCGTGCGTCGTGTCGCGTGGTCGTGCGTGGGCGTATCTGGCCATGGGTCGTTCGGTCATTGCGCGTCGTTGTGAGTTGTCACGCATCGTAGTGGAGTACAAGGCGTATTTGTTTGTGCAGTGTTAATTATAATCATCATTAATCATTATTAGTCTGCAATAGCCTGCGATAAATTTGTGCTGGTACTACAGTCTTCTTCTTTTCCTAGCGGTAGTGGCAGTAGTATGAGCAAGAAGCAGAGAGCAGTGGGAGAAGCGACAGCATTGTCCATTTGGAGTCGCAGTAGCAGTGTAGCAGTAGAGGCAGGGGCAGAAGAAAAGTTCTTCAGCAAGAGCAGATGCAAAGGCAGCAGGGGCAGCAGTCTAGTGGCCCGCCCAAAAGTTTGGCTGTGGGTATGAACTGTGCAAAAGTTGATGATATGCTCAAGGGTAGCTTCGGGGTGACAAAGCTTGGAAAATGACTGCCAAGGGCCCTTGGATGACCAAATAGGAAACGTTTTTGGCTCTGGGCCTGGTTTGCGGACACTGCCAAGAAGCATTAGATCATATTAGATCCTTCTATTTAGACTTGGCGATTTAGCCAAGTCGCATGGATGGCATGCTTCATCATCGGGTGTTGCTGTTTCAATCTTTGGCGAGCTGTAACAGCTTCGTACCCCTCTCGTGCAACAAATGAAGGATGACATCAAAGTAGCATCTCTCGCAGGCTTAGCTTCATGTCCATTGAGCATTTGGACGTTGGCACCTTCAGTCTGGTTGGCAAGGACTTTGTCATTTGCAAACACGACCGACCATCGCAAATGCTGTCTGAGAACAGAAGGCGCTGGCCATCATTCTGACCGTGCTCTTGTCCAGACTCGTCCTGAAGAAGGGCCACAGTATGCAGTGA